CGCAGCTCTCAACAGATAGCCAGGCTTCTCCAAGCCAAGATGAGCCATCAAGCAGGGATAGACACGGTAGATGTCAGGACATGTGACCGAGTATGCTATATCCGATTGAGGGACGATAATGTGCCTTTTCATTCCAACAACGGAGTCAGGTGTTTGGGTTCTGGGCGCCCTCCCAGGGAGAGCACCAATCAACAGCCCACACCGCCCGTAAGGCAAAACACCTCCCAGACCTTCATTCCCACAGAAAATTTATTAGAAGCTATCAAAGCAACATCGGCCAGAACCTTGCAACACATCCCTAAGCAGCCCGCCCCCATGCAGCAGCCAAATTATCTGCCCTCCTGAGAAAGGTCAACGACTCTCCTGGAATGACCCAAGCATGGCACAACCTCCTAATGTTTGGAAACATATGTTTAGCCACCCCTGCAAGGAGAGACAAAACCTAGCTGCTTCAGTCATCAAAGCTATAAATGAGTGCGCTTCCCACTCGCGCGAGACACACCCACGGCAGGAAGAGCAACAGTGGCATATCGAGACATCAAAATCAGAACATCAGTCACCAAGAAAATAGAAGAAGGAAACACTATTGGCGCAATACGAGTCATCACCAGTGAGGACTCAATTGCCTACAGAGATGCCGCAACAGCTCGAGCCCTAAGGGAGAAACACCCACCCAGGGCTCCGCGTAAGGACGACATTGTACAAGTGGGGATTACCGGAGCAGAACCTCTCTGGGTGGCTGAATCTGTGGTCCATAAAGCAGCCATGTCCTTCCCTACAGGATCAGCAGGTGGGTTCACAGGACTAAAACCCAAACACCTCAAGCAAATGCTCAACCCTGCACTGGGTGACATTGCAAAGAACCTCTTGGTGGAACTAACCAGATTCACCAACACATGTCTAGCTGGCAAGATACCAGCGGCCATAAGACCTATCTTTTTTGGAGCATCTCTCTGTACTCTAAAGAAAAAGGATGGAGGGATCAGGCTAATAGCTGTGGGCAATTCTCTCCTGCGTCTCGTCGCAAAAGCAGCTGCAAGAACAGTTAGTGATGCAGCGGCCAACATGCTGAAGCCAAAACAGCTCGGGTTTGGCATTCCACAAGGGTGTGATGGCGGCAGCCCATGCAGCTCGAGCCTTCATCGCCAACATCACAGACGAAAAAAGGCCCTTATCAAGCTAGATTTAAAAAATGCCTTCAATTTGGTGCGGAGGGATGCTGTACTCCGTGCGGTTCATAGTCATTTCCCTTCCCTCTACCCATATATATATATATATATATATATATATTATATATATATATAATATATATATATATATATATATATATATATATATATATATATATATATATATAGGGTAGAGGCCTGTGTGTGTGTGCAACACACACACACAGGCAGGAGTATGAGTACGGCCACAAGGCATGTGCAGATGAACTGCAGATGACAGCAACAAAGCATGTATAGATGAACTGCAAACGTCAGCGAGAATAGCGCATTGAATTCAAACCTTAGTAAGGAGGCTTTTAGAGCGCTTTACACTGCCCACGTGAGACCAGTCTTAGAGTATGCCGCGCCATCATGGAGCCCCCACCTGAAGATACACATATGGAAACTGCTAAAGGTTCAGAACTTAACGACGAGGCTTCTTCTAGAGTTGTGTGGAATGGGATATGAAGAGCTCCTGAAGTAACTGAGCCTTACGATAGGAGAAAAAAAGAGGGGAGAGGGGGATATGATAGGACCGTATAAAATACTCAGGGGAATTGATAAAGTGGAAATACTTGAAATGTTCACATGTAACAGAAACAGAACGAGGGGACATGAGTGGAAGTTGGAAACTCAGATGAGTCACAGAGATGATAGGAAGTATTCTTTTAGTGTTAGAGTAGTCGAAAAATGGAATGCACGTAAGGATTAGGTTGTGGAAACAAACTCTATTCATAATTTTAAAACAAGATGTGATAGGGAAATAAGACAGGAGTCATTGCTATAAATAATCAATAGCTAGAAAGCCAGGATCAAAGAGTCAATGCTCAATCCTACAAACACAAATAGGTGAGTACAAATAGTGAGTGGGGTAGGAGGAGCGCCTGAGGGAACTGTGCCTTACGACACTAGAAAGAAGAAGGGAGAGGGGGGACATGATAGGAACAATATAAAATACTCAGAGGGATTGACAGAGTGGACATAGGCGAAATGTTCACACGGAATCGTAACAGAACGAGGGGACAGATGGAAGCTTGAAACTCGATATGAGTCACAGAGATGTTAGGAAGTTTTCTTTTAGCGTGAGAGTAGTGGGGAAAATGGAATGCACTTCAGGAACAGGTTGTGGAAGCAAATACTATTCATAATTTTAAAACCAGGTATGATAGGGAAATGGGACAGGAGTCATTGCTGTAAACAACCGATGCTCGAAAGGCGGGATCCAAGAGTCAATGCTCGATCCTGCAGACACAACTAGGAGAGTACACACACACACACACACACACACACCACACACACACACACACACACACCACATACACACACACACACACACCACACACATACACACACATACACACACACCCACCACACACACACACACACACACACACACACCACACATACACACACACACACACACACAACACACAAACGCACTATGATGCAGAACTAGGAAACAGCATTGGATCAACAGAAATTGTGAGAGGGCCAGAGACCAAAAGACACAAAAATGGAATCAATACAGGAAAAGGCCAAACCCCCAAACATACCAGCGATACAAAGATGCGAGAAAAACTACACGACAGTGAGAGAGGAGAGAAACTTGAAAAAAAAAAGGGATTGCAGATAAATGTAAAAACAGACCAGGTCTATTTATAAATTCATAAACAACAAATGCAGGTAAAGGATAATATTCAGAGGTTGAAAATGGGAAATAGATTCACGGGAAATGAAAATGAAATGTGTGAAACATTAAACGAAAAGTTCCAAAGTGTGTTTGTACAAAATGAAATCTTCAGGGGAACCAAATACAATAAGAATTCCAGAGAACAACTTAGAGCACGTAGAGGTGTCTAGAGACGAAGTCGAAAAAATGCTCAAGGAGCTAAATAAGAACAAAGCAGTTGGTCTAAATGGAGTTTCACCATGGGTTCTGAGAGAATGTGCACCTGAGCTCAGCATTTCTCTTCAACTGATTTTTCAGGCATCCCCGTATACAGGAGTTGTAGCTGATGTGTGGAAAAAGGCTAACATAGTTCCAATCTACAAAAGTGGAAGCAGGGAAGACCCCCTTAATTATAGACCGGTATCATTGACAAGTGTAATAGTCAAAATATTGGAAAAAATAATTTAAACTAAATGGGTAGAACACCTGGAGAGAAATGATATAATATCAGACAGACAGTATGGTTTTCGATGAGGAAGATCCAGTGTATCGAATTTACTCAGTTTCTTTGATCGAGCAACAGAGATATTACAGGAAAGAGATGGTTGGGTTGACTGCATCTATCTGGACCTAAAAAAAGGCTTTCGACAGAGTTCCACATAAGAGGTTGTTCTGGAAACTGGAAAATATTGGAGGAGTGGACAGGTACGCTTCTACACGGATGAAAAGTTTCTGACTGATAGAAAAATGATGGCTATGATAGAGGCAATGTATCGGACTGGAGAAATGTCACAAGTGGAGTACTACAGGGTTCAGTTCTTGCACCAGTGATGTTTTTTGTCTACATAAATGATCTACCAGTTGGTATACAGAATTATATGAACATGTTTGCTGATGATGCTAAGATAATAGGAAGGATAAGAAACTTAGATGATTTTCATGCCCTTCAAGAAGACCTGGACAAAATAAGTTCATGGAGCGCCACTTGGCAAATGGAATTAAAGTTATGTTAATAAATGCCATTTTATGGAATGTGGAATAGGAGAACATAGACCCCACACACACCTATATATTATATGAGAAATCTTTAAAGAATTCTGATAAAGAAAGAGATCTAGGGGTGGTTTAGATAAAAAACTATCACTTGAGGACCACATAAAAAATATTGTGCGAGGAGCCTATGTCACGCTTTCTAACTTCAGAATTGCTTTTAAATACATGGATGGCGATATACTAAAAAAATTGTTCACGACTTTTGTTAGGCCAAAGCTAGAATATGCAGCTGTTGTGTGGTGCCCATATCTTAAGAAGCCCATCAACAAACTGGAAAAGGTGCAAAGACATGCTACTAAGTGGCTCCCAGAACTGAAGGGCAAGAGCTACGAGAGAGGTTAGAGGCATTAAATATACCAAAACTAGAAGACACGAGAAAAAGAGGTGATATGATCACTACATACAAAATAGTAACAGGAATTGATAAAATCGATAGGGAAGGTTTCCTGAGACCTGGAACTTTAAGAAAAAGAGGTCATAGATATAAACTAGCTAACACAAATGCCGAAGAAATATAAGAAAATTCACTTTCGCAAACAGAGTGGTAGACGGTTGGAATAAGTTAGGGAAGAAGGTGGTGGAGGCCAAGACTGTCAGTTGTTTCAAAGCGTTATATGACAAACAGTGCTGGGAAGACGGGACACCACGAGCGTAGCTCTCATCCTGGTCACTACACTTAGGTAATTACACTTAGGTAATTACACACACACACACACACAATACAGGGACTTGTTGAATCTGGAAATGGGTTCTGGACAGGGAAATCATTCCTAACAAACCTTTTAGAATTCTATGACAAAGTAACAAGGATAAGGCAGGACAGAGAAGGCTGGGCAGAATGTATATTTCTTGACTACCAAAGGGCCTTTGATACAGTACCGCACATGAGACTGCTATACAAACTTGAGAGGCAGACTGGAGTAAGCGGAAAGGCCCTAGCATGGGTGAGGAACTACCTAACAGGAAGGAGCCAGAGGGTAATGGTAAGGGGCGAGAAGTCGGACTGGCGAACAGTAACGAGTGGAGTACCTCAAAGATCGATGCTGGGCCCAATCCTCTTTCTAATTTACGTTAAATATATGTTTACAGGAGTGGAATCATACATGTCAATGTTTGCGGATGACGCAAAATTCATGAGAAGAGTTGTTACAGATGAGGATTGTAAGATCCTCCAAGAGGACTTAACAGGTTTGCAGAGATGGTCAGGGAAATGACTACTGGAGTTCAACACCAGTAAATGTAAAGTTATGGAAATGGGATCAGGTGATCGACGACCAAAGGGACAGTACACAATGAAGGGGAACAGCCTACCTGTAACAATTCGAGAAAGAGACCTGGGAGTGGATGTGACACCTAATCTAACTCCTGAGGCACATATAAGTAGGATAACGACAGCAGCGTACTATACACTGGCGAAAATTAGAACTTCATTCAGAAACCTAAGTGAGGAGGCTTTTAAGGCGCTTTACACTGCCTACGTGAGACCAGTCTTAGAGTATGCCGCGCCATCATGGAGCCCCCACCTGAAGAAACACATAAGGAAACTGGAGAAGGTTCAGAGGTTTGCGACGAGGCTTGTCCCAGAGTTACGAGGGATGGGATATGAAGAACGTCTGAGGGAACTGAACCTTACGACACTAGAGAAAAGAAGGGAGAGAGGAGATATGAGAGGAACATATAAAATACTCATGGGAATTGACAAATTGGAAATAGATGAAATGTTCACACGTAATAAAAACAGAACGAGGGGACCTGGGTGGAAACTGGAAACTCAGATGAGTCACAGAGATGTTAGGAAGTTTTCTTTTAGCGTCAGAGTAGTGGAAAAATGGAATGCACTTAAGGAACAGGTTGTGGAAGCAAACTCTATTCATGGTTTTAAAATTAGGTATGATAGGGAAATGGGACAGGAGTCATTGCTGTAAACAACCGATGGCTGAAAGGCGGGATCCAAGAGTCAATGCTCGATCCTGCAAGCACAAATAGGTGAGTACACACACAATAGGTGAGTACACACACAACACAAACAGGAGGCCGGACACAGGAGGCCATACAGAATAGGAGATGAAGTACTTAATGAAAGGGACAGAGAGAAAGATCAAGGAGCTGATATCACACCAAACCTGTCTCCTGAAGCCCACATAAAAAGAATAACGTCTGCGGCATATGGGAGGCTGGCTAACATCAGAACAGCGTTCAAGAACTTGTGTAAGGAATTATCCAGAATCTTGTACACCACATATGTAAGACCAATCCTGGAGTATGCGGCCCCAGCATGGAGCCCGTACCTTGTCAAGCACAAGACGATGCTGGAAAAATTTCAAAGGTATGCTACAAGACTAGTCCCAGAACTAAGAGGCATGAGTTACGAGGAAAGGCTGCGTGAAATGCACCTTACGACGCTGGAAGACAGAAGAGTAAGGGGAGGACATGATCACCACCTACAAAATCCTCAGGGGAATTGACCGGGTAAACAAGGATAAACTATTCAACACTGGTGGAACGCGAACAAGGGGACACAGGTGGAAACTGAGTACCCACATGAGCCACAGGGACGTTAAAGGGAACTTTTTCAGTGTCAAAGTAGTTAACGGATGGAATGCATTAGGCAGTGGTGTGGTGGAGGCTGAATATATACTCAGTTTTAAAGTAGATATGATAGAGCCACAGTAGGCTGAGGAATCTGTACACCAGTTGATTAACAGTTTGAGGCGGGACCAAAGAGCCAAAGCTCAACCCCCGCAAGCACGAATAGGTGAGCACAAAAAGGTCGTAGTACACACAACACACACTCTGAGGGTCGAGGGAGGTGGTCACGTTGCGCCGCGCTCGTCAATAAGGCTTCATATTTCGGGACATCAGAGGGATACATGGGAATTCGGTGTTCAGTGATAATACAAAGTGCAACACACCATTTTGAAACTAGAAAACTTATGGATAGTGTCCGATAGTGCATATTAGACAAGATCAGGGGTACGACATCAGTGCCAGGACAAGCACGTGGGCCACTGCACGGTCAGAGTGTACACAACTAGATGTGATAGTGAAGATCATAACAAATAGTGAATAGGATAGTGAAGAAGTGATTCTAAACGTGTGGCATTGAACTATATCGGTGCTAAGAGGAATAAGGAGCAGAATACTGGTGATATATAGTGACAAGTTGGAGGGACCTACGCCTGGCAGCGGTGTGGATGGAGACAGCAGGCCTACACACCACTGTCAACAGTACTTAACACCTGTTTGTGCTGCGGGATGTTTTGAATTGGCGGAAAGGTAAGGCCTCTCACAAAGTCAGTCACTCAATTGGTGTACAGTGTTATTGCCTTTTAATAGTTAGTAAGTTAACAAACTGAAACGAATATCAAGGGAAATGTGTGGCTCATGTGGGAACTAGTTTCCTGACACCCAAGTGTGAAAAACACTCCGCCCTACACCGAGACAACTCCCCCCCCCCCCTCTCTCACCCCACCCCCCCTCCCACCAGACCAACAACAGTAAACAAGGCCTCCCAACCATATTGTCAACATATAACCTCACCACTCTAATCCCCACACACATCCTCGCCATCCCCTCCCTCTCTCCCCACCTCCCCCCCCATTCAGTTCACACTCAGACACACCTATCTCTCCCCCTCCCTCCCCCCCCCCCCCTTCCTCTCCCCCCTCTCTCCTCTCTCCCCCTTTTCTCTCCCCCCTCTTTCCTCCTCCCCCCTCTCTCTCTCTCTCTCTCTCTCTCTCTCTCTCTCTCTCTCTCTCTCCTCTCTCTCTCTCTCTCTCTCTCTCTCTCTCTCTCTCTCTCTCTCTCTCAGGCAAGACATGGAAGGGACACGAACTCGGGCTTACATACGCAGGATGTCAATCGCGGCTGGAACAAATTCAAAGGATGGGGGGGAACAGGAAGACTGGATGAAGGAAGTACTCCAGCAAATACGGAATGACTTCAGTGAAGGACTGAGGGTAATGAGGGAGACAGTAGCCAACCTGCAAGATGAGCTAAAGGCAGCAAAGGAGGAGATAAGAAGCCTAAAGGAGACTCTTCTTCCAATACCAGACACAAACCGTGCCTCAGGGAGACAGGAATGCTACTGTGGAGGGGACCTCCACACCTCAGCTCTCATTTGCTGAAATACTTAAAACGAGCCCTGTAGCTATGTCTGCAGTTAAGGAAGTTGCCATGGAAGTGGCCTCCTCTCAGGAAGCAGCTAGGTGTACTAGCCGGCTGATAGAGAGAAGTATACTTCTCTCTATAGAGCAGTAGAGCAGTAAGTAGCAGGCATTAAAGAGCAAACAGGGATCAGACCAAAGGAGCGGAGAGACAAGGACAAACACATGGTTAAAGAGATCCTTAAAGAGGTAGGGATGGAGGGAGCTGAACAAAATGTTGAAAAGGTTTTCAGGCTTGGAAAGTACAACAGGGACAGAGACCGAATGATTAAGGTGGTTTTCATGAGCGAAATCGCGAAAGAAGAACTGTTAGAAAGGAAGTGCTGTCTAGCAAATGTAGAGAAGTTCAAAAGAGTATTCCTGCAGAGGGATATGACACGGGAAGAGAAAATGCAGGCAGCAGACGCGAGGAAGGAGCGCAGGGAGACAGAAAGGAATCGAGGAGCCACACCCCCGATCCCTACAATCCAAGAGGGGAATGGGGAACCCTCCTCAAACAGTGCACTAGCCACAGGGAGTGCGGCACCACCCCCACATTCTACCCAACAGACACCCTACCTGCTCCAACCCCTGTCAGCCCCCCACTAAGCACTCCCCCCACCCACCCCTTCCTCCCACTCACCCCCCTCCTCCCACTCCCCCCTCCCCCCAGGACCTCCCTTCTCCCCCATCCCCCAAGCCCTCCCTTCTCCCAAATGCCCTCCTGTTTCTCCCACCCACAAGCCCTCCATTCTCCCTCGTCCCCCTAAGCCCCCCACTCTCCCCCCTACCCCACCTAACTCTTCCCCTCCCCACCACTTCCCAAAACCCTCCCTTCCTCCTCAACCACCTCAGCCTTCCCTTTCCCCCCACGCCCCCCAAGCCCTCCCCACTTTACTGCCCCCCCAAACCCCCCTTTCTCCCCCATCCCCCCAAACCCCCCCCCCCCCCTCTCACCCCCCCAACCCTCCCCCTTTCACCCCCCAACCCTCCCCCTCTCACCCACCCCCCCAACCCTCCCCCCTTCAACCCACTCCCTCTAACCCCCCCTCCCCCCCCTCACCCGCTCCCCCTACCCTCCACCTCCCCAAGCCCTTCCTCCTCTACCAGATCCTCCCAGCTCCCGCTCACCCCAGACCCCACAGGCTCCCCCCAGAGGAGAAGCAGAAGAGAGTCAGTTTCAGGGCAATGTACTCGAACATAGATGGGATCACAAGCAAGGCAAGTGAACTAAGGGAAAGAGCACAAGAAGTGAACCCAGATGTAATCGGACTCACTGAAACAAAACTCTCTGGAATCATAATGAATGCCGTGTTTCCCCAGGAGTACACAGTAATAAGGAAAGAAAGGGAAGGTAGGAGAGGAGCTGGAGTGGCCCTACTCATGAGAAAGGAATGGAGTTTTAAGGAGATGTCTATATCAGGCTGTGAGGGTTTCAGAGACTACATAGGAGGCACCATGACAATGGGAGGACCAAGGATAGTAGTAGCAGTAATATATAACCCTCCACCAAATGACAGAAGACCCAGTCAAGAGTACGAAAACAACAACATGGCAGTTAACACTATAATTGAGAGGGCAGCCTCTGCTGCCTGTAGAAATAGATCCCACCTGCTCATCATGGGGGACTTCAATCACGGCAGGATTGATTGGGAGAACAAGGAACCACATGGAGGCGAGGATACGTGGAGAGCCAAACTACTGGAGGTGGTGACTAGAAACTTCTTAACCCAGCATGTCAGAGAACCCACAAGGATGAGAGGAAATGACGAACCAGCGAGACTCGACCTGGTCTTCACCCTGAACGACTCTGACATAAGAAAAATTGGTTTTGAGGTCCCAGTAGGAATGAGCGACCACAGTGTACTGGTGTTTGAGTATTTGATTGAAGAAGGGTTATTGAACTCGAGGAGGGATACCGAAACCATAAGGTTAGCAAACCGAAAGGGAAACTATGAGGAGATATGAAAATTCCTAACAGATATAGCATGGGAAACAGAGCTCAGGGGAAAGACGGCCCAAGATATGATGGACTACATCACGCAAAAATTCAAGGACGCAGCAAACAAGTTTGTCCCAGTCCAAAAGGAAAACAGTGAAATGAAGATGAGAAACCCATGGTTTAATCAGAGATGTAGGCTAGCTAAGCAGCAAAGTAAAAGGGCATGGAGAAACTATAGGAATAACAGGACACTGGAGAGCAGAGAAAGATACCAGAATGCCAGGAATGAATATGTCAGGATGAGAAGAGAGGCAGAAAGACAATACGAAAATGACATCGCAAGCAAGGCAAAGACTCAGCCTAAATTGCTGCATAGCCACATCAGGAGAAAAACAACAGTAAAGGAACAGGTTATGAAATTAAGAATAGGGGCAGAAGGATTCACTACAAACGACAAGGAAGTGTGTGAGGAACTGAATAAGAAATTCCAAGAGGTCTTCACCTTAGAGCAAGGAGAAATCCCAGAGATAAGAGAGGGAATAGCTAACCAGGAACCATTGGAAGAGTTTGAGATTACCAGCAGGGAAGTAAGGAAGTTTTTACTAGAGTTGGATGTGACAAAGGCTATAGGAGCAGAAGAACTGTGCCTCCCACTCTCCATAGTGTATAACAAATCACTGGCAACAGGGGAACTGCCAGAAATTTGGAAAGCAGCTAACATAGTCCCGATATACAAGAAAGGGGATAGATAGGAGGCATTGAATTACAGGCCAGTGTCCCTAACCTGCATACCATGCAAACTGATGGAAAAGATTGTGCGAAGAAAGCTAGTGAAGCACCTGGAGCGAAAGAACTTTGTAACACAGCATCAACATGGAATCAGGGATGGCAGGTCCTGCCTCACAGGGTTACTTGAGTTCTACGACCAGGCAACAAAAATAAGGCAAGAAAGAGAAGGGTGGACAGACCGCATATTTTTGGATTGTCAGAAAGCCTTTGATACAGTGCCACACAAGAGGCTAGTGCGAAAGTTGGAGACGCAGGCTGGAGTGAAAGGGAAGGTACTCCGGTGGATAGAGGAGTACCTAAGCAACAGGAGACAACGAGTTTGTGTGAGGGGTGAGGTCTCAGATTGGCGAGACGTTACAAGTGGAGTCCCGCAGGGGTCAGTCCTTGGACCTATACTGTTTCTGGTATATGTAAATGATCTCCCAGAGGGTATAGAATCGTTCCTCTCAATGTTTGCCGATGATGCAAAAATTATGAGGATGAATGAAACAGAGGATGATAGTAGAAGGCTACAAGATGACCTAGATAGACTGAGTGAATGGTCCAACAAATGGCTGTTGAAGTTCAACCCGAGTAAATGCAAAGTAATGAAACTAGGCAGTAGAAACAGGAGGCCAGACACAGGATACAGAATAGGTGATGAAGTACTTAATGAAACAGACAGAGAGAAAGATCTAGGAGTTGATATCACACCAAACCTGTCTCCTGAAGCCCACATAAAGAGAATAACGTCTGCGGCATATGCGAGGCTGGCTAACATCAGAACAGCGTAAAGGAACCTGTGTAAGGAATCATTCAGAATCTTGTAAACAACATATGTAAGACCAATCCTGGAGTATGCGGCGCCAGCATGGAGCCCGTACCTTGTCAAGCACAAGACGAAGCTGGAAAAAGTCCAAAGGTATGCTACTAGACTAGTCCCAGAACTAAGAGGCATGAGTTATGAGGAAAGGCTGCGGGAAATGCACCTTACGACACTGGAAGACAGAAGAGTAAGGGGGGACATGATCACAACCTACAAAATCCTCAGGGGAATCGACCGGGTAAACAAGGATGAACTATTCAACACTGGAGGGACGCGAACAAGGGACACAGGTGGAAGCTGAGTACCCAAATGAGCCACAGAGACATTAGAAAGAACTTTTTCAGTGTCAGAGTAGTTAGTTAAAAGAATGCACTAGGAAGTGATATGGTGGAGGCTGACTTCATACACAGTTTCAAATGTGGATATGACAGAGCCCAGTAGGCTCAGAAATCTGTACATCAGTTCATTGACAGTTGAGAGGTGGGACCAAAGAGCCAGAGC